GCAACAGTGTTCAGTAAGAAAAGCTGAAGTTTTAATAAACCCTCCCCAAAAACCAAAACCCAACACTCTGGGAAAAACCAGCAGCAAGTGTTAATACACAGGAGCGCTGTGTTTAGGAAGCAGACTGCACCCAAATCCTCTGTTCGCCTGAACAGCGCGAAGTTGCCGGAGCCCAACTGCAGTTGTGCAGAACGACCGTTGTGAGCTGGCTCCTGCTTTTGCAGGGCTGGCAGAGCTGCTCTGTGCCGGTAATGACCTGTGCTGTCCATGTGCTGCTGGCACAGCTCAGAGCCAGCTCGGGTCTGCTCCAACCCGTGCCCAGGCCAGCATGTATCCGTGACTCCTGTCTCATGTGTACCACATACCACACCAGCCTGCAAGAGCAGAGAATCCTAAATAAACCACCCCACGCTTCTCAACGTCTGCAGAGAGGGCAGAGGAGGAAACAACGCTTGAAACGTGCCAACACTGGCACGTTTGCTTTGCTAGATGGAGTAGTATTTTTGAAATTAGGTCGTTGATGTGATGATAAAAAGAACTGATCCATGCACCACAGTAACAGCAGTGACTTTTTAAAGCAACTGAGTTATATATGAAAAGCAAGGACTGTAACTCTGTTGGTTATAAAACACATAAGTGGAGTTATTCATAAATGATAATGCAGAAGGAAGCGCCCTAGGAAGACAGCATGAAAACCAAAGGAAAACACGATCAGTATCTGATGCTCTCTGCAACATATTTAAGTGTAACTACTTTTGGTACTCTTAAAACCACTGACAAAACAGGTATCTAACAGACATTTTTAATAACAGGAAAATAAATAATCCAGTATAAATGCTACATTTAAAAAGACCTGGTTCTATTACATTTACATTGCTTGAATCCCAAGCTGATTCTCTAAAAGGCTGCTGGCGTATTTGCACACGCTAAAGCAAAAAACTGACTTCGTTTTCCTGAACCTATTACTGTGACTACTGCGACCCACCAACGTGACCTAACCCTCAGCTATTTAAAAACAATAGACTACAAAAGAAAATGCTCTTTGAGCACAGGACCCAGTCATCCAAGGAAATAACTCTGGTTTCTGCCAGCTGATCTGGAGACAGGGAAGCGCTCCAACATCACTGACATCAGGCAGCCTTCTGGGAAGCAACCGCACTGGATCAGCTCGAGCAAAATAAGCGTATTGCCGTTCAGAATATACTGACAGGGAAAAAAGTAAATTACTTTATAAAAGACCTAACACTGATGTTTAAGAAAGCATTGTTTTTGAATTCCATTAAAATAAATATAGGTGATTAAAGACAGGCAACTATCTAAGCTGGATTCATGCAGGATGTTGCTGAACCCAGTGAAAGAGATTCTGTTTGTGGTTTAACCTCGTTAACATTTATCTAATTAATTGTCTCTCAGATTAAGATATCCACTGTAAACCACGCTGGTTGCAGTTATTTCTCGTCTAGAAATAGGATCAGCTTATATCATACAGATGAGTAAGTAACTTTTTCATTAAATATCTGTAGTTATGAAAAAACCAACAACTCTGACTATTAACTTGCTTATAACAAATATCAAGGTTCTCTTGGATTCAGGAATTCTTTTTTTGGGTCTCGGTTTGCTCTTGTTGTTGTTGTTACACAAAGCCTAATAAGGCAATTCTCAGGAAAATAAGGTGTATTTCCCAAACCAGACTGTATAATCTGGCAGCTGCATCTCTCCTTTCCTTAGTGGAAAAAGCAATACTCTTACCATATGAAGTCACTTTGAAGGCATCCCAAATAAAGGATTGAAGACAGCACGCTAATTTATCCTGAGGAAAAGCCTACTTCATAAAAGAATGCAGACTGTAAAAATCATCCAAGAGGCAGCAGTTAAACCCTTCCTGGAACAGTCACAGCCAAGGAGAGGACGGACAACAACCACCACCTCAATATTGCACAACAGGTGACAGCAGCAGCACCAGTGGAAAACCATTATAACCCATGCAAGTGCAGGTTTTTTCCAAACCAAGGCTTCAAAGGGAGAAGAGAGTTGGGTAACACTAATTATTCAAACCTTCCTTATGAAGTAAGGGCTGTTAATGAGAAGATTATCAGGCAGTGTAACAGTTACAGGGCGTTAGGTGACAGGGAGGGAGGAGAGGACAAGAGGAGAAATTACGCTTTAGGTGACTGCAAGTAACTGTGGAGTGCTACCAATTCACACTGAAGGCTGATTCTAAAGAAGGCAGAAAAAAGAGCTTATCACAAAGTTCTCCAAGAACCGTCACCACTGATGATAAAAGGCACCGAGCACTGTGGTGTCTGACAGCTACCCACGACATCTGCACGGCAGTGGGTTTATCCAGCTGCGCTCTGAAGCTCTGCAGAACGCCTGTGAGGCAGAAATCCGTGCTACAGGGCTAATTTAGACTGCTGGAGAAAGAGAGGAAACACAAAAAATTTAAAGCATTCTGCAAAGAACCTCCAGACTGAAAGGGCCATTTTCTGTGAAACACGGAAAACAGACAAAACTGAACCACAAACCCCTGTTTCACAAACAATTGCAGGAAGCACTAAAATCCTTCTGTAACGTACTTATCTTAAAACTAGAAGCCTAACATTTTATAACCCATAATAATCCTGCTTGGATGTTCTCTGCAGCACCACTGCACTTCCTCAATAATACGCAATGGTAACTAAGAAAAATATCTTTTTCAAAAGATTCTGCTAAGCCTAAAACCAACATCCGATCCAATAACGTGTATTTACAGCCTCTTATCCAGTGCTCGTGGAGAGGGCATTTTTCTGGTGGTCGAAGGGGAAGCTTTGGATAACACAACATTCATGTATCAGCAGCCTGCACCAACCCTGCTCCTCCAGCCTGCCCACAGGGTGACGAACGGGATTCCACCACACAGGATCATGCAGCCTAAAATCAGGCAGAATGAGGTAGCACAGGGTGAGAAATTACTCCGAGCTGATGGTGGCACTCAAGGCTACACGAACCAGCAGCCAACAGCTCCCCACTGGCTAAGAAACGTGGATAAAGGAACATGAGAGCTCTGTCTGCGCTCAGCTCTGGCTCCTCGCAGAACACCACTGCAGCACGCTGGTCCCATTGCAATTGCAAGCACTTCCACTGCCATTACAGGTAATGATTTATAGAATGAGAGCCACAAACCTGAAATTAACTTAAGTGGTGCGGAGCCAAAAGGAGAAGAAATCGAAATACATTCTCTTTCCTCACCGTAATGCAGCTACGGTGAGAATTTAAATTCCCTCGCAGAGCCTTTGTCACAACAACCGCGCTGGCACAGCCGCGCCGAGCGTGCCCGCTGGCAGAGACACAGCTCGTGCTGACAGAGGATGCTCTGTGCTGACACAGCAGCCCCATCACTTCAAACAAACCTTGATCTTTCCTTCCAGAAGAGGAATCTTCTCTCAGTACACCGCTGCTTTGACCTGCCTGCACTGCCGCGGCTGCAGGTGAGCAGGTTCCCGTTGTTCCCAGGTGAGGAGCTGCGTTTCTCACACCAAAACACTTCTCTATTTTAACTTACCACAGTTCTTTTTAAACTACACGTTCATTAAGGGGGGTAAATATCGACTTTGGTATCAATCAATGTAGCTGATTCTGGGAATACAGATGAGGCTCAAACTTAAAGGTATTTGAGTACAGCCCAACTCCTGAGATTCTTCTGAAAAGTCTAATGAAAAAGAACCGTCTCTCAACAAATAGGTGAGCTAAGGAGGCATCATGCACATTTCAGCAGTGGACAATGGTTAATGGTTCATCTGCCCGGGTGCTTCTTCAGTGAACTTCCCAGCGTAGCTACAAACACCAGCGTTTCTAAATTTCCCCTTGAAACACCCAGAGTTTAGCCATTCTTCAATCAAATGGACACCAGTCCAGAAACTTCACTTAAAACCAACAGGTTTCTATAGCTGACAACTCTGATGGCAAGTTTTGCAATCATATTTCAACAATTGCAAAGAGAAAAAAAACAACCAAGACCATGACGAGTCCGAGGCTTGAATTTCAAAGTACGTTATGCATTTCTGGATAGCACGCACTGGCAAAATATACAGCACAAACAGGAAGCTCAGTTACAACTAAAATTCTCTTAATATACCTTTTTTCCCCTTAGAAATAATATACCACGCTTTCAGGAAGCATATTATTTACATTTGTTACATCTGAAGAAAAGAATGTACTTTAGGAGCCCTAACTAGGAATCACTGGTCAACCACAATAAGCTATGATATTGAGCTGGTACGTATCATTTTCAGTAACACTGACAACAGGGTGGAGTGTCCAAAATGGCATTTATACCAAGAAAAATGATTTCTTTAATTCTGAAGCTCGAGACTGTTGTCTGTTCTGGAACCATAGAAAACAGTTCTGCGCAAGTCTCAGTTCTGGGGACTTAAAAACCCACACCCAGAAGCATCATAACCTGAAGAGCGATGAGCTAGTAACTTTAAGAAAGATGTGTTATTTCCAATGCAGTGACTGGATACTGATAGGCAAGTAGTTTTTGCTGCAACGATTTAAAACCACAGCTCTCATTTACCACTTCAACTCCCTTCGGGAGGTCAAGGTATTCACAGAGGAACTTGCAGAAGGGAATGGCTGACTGCATCGCTGCTGGTGAATGCATTAATTTAGCATTTTAACACAAGCCTGTACTTGCTGCAGACACCGACATCTGCAGGGACTGCTGCTGAAGCACTGCAGGTGCGGGCACACTCACTGCTCCACCGGTGGCAGCTTCTTCAAGGCTCCGAGTCAGCCGAATTTACTACTCAGTAACTGCACTGAAATGTCAGTGCTGACACATCAGAAGACAAAGAAATAGCATTTTTGCTGACTAATTTTTAAGATGGCTGGTAATTACTCACTGCAGTTTCACCCACGAGAATATGTCATCTCCATTTGTAATATTAAAGACTCAGAAATGCGTTCCTTCATTTGGCTCTTTTTAATTAACAAGCGCACAACCTGCAGAATCACCTTACCTGACAGAGTTTTGCTTCCTGTTTTCTATTTTCATTAGAATTTGCACATCTGACTGAGGAGACGCTGTATACATTTTTAATCTGAAAAAGAATAAGCAACAGAGATGAGGAAACAATAACATACAATGCCTTTTCTTCCCATCACCCATAAGAGATGGGTATCTTTTGCATGCCAACAACCAAAAGTATTTATTTCTTCATAAATAACAATAACTTGCCACATACCAAGTATTTCCCATAAATTAGGGCTATAATTACTAGTACGTTTTTCTAATTACTCCAAAGAAAAGGTTTACTGTCACCACCACTGAGGTTAATTATGGCTACATTTTTTAGAATTATAGTCGCTTTATTTGATCTTCATGCCACGAGCCAATTTCTTAAATCTTTCCTGGTTTGAATTTGGTGGCTCTACTCCAGGGTTGCTCGTTTGGTGAATGTTAGGATGGTTTTCATCACAGGAATTCAAGATGTGCCGCTGACTGGGAACTCAGCTCTGCATGCTGGAAGTTCAGTTACTTTAAGCCATTATTCAGAAACGTTCACCTCACACAGAACCCCAGAACATGAGGAGTTGGAAGGGCCCTGGAAAGCTCCCCCAGTGCAACCCCTGCCAGAGCAGGATCACCAGAGCAGTCACACAGGAACACGGCCAGGGCTTTGGGTGTCTGCAGAGAAGGAGACTCCACAACCTCTCTGGGCAGCCTGGGCCATGCTCCAGAACCCTCACACTCACAAAGTTTGGCCTCATCTTCAGCTTGAGCCTCCTGTGCTCCAGCTTGGGACCATTGCCCCTTGTCCTGGCATTGGCCATCCCAGAGCAGAGCCTGGCTCCTTCCTCCTGACACTGCCCTTTCCCAATGGATCCCCAGGAATGAGGGCACCCCTCAGTCTCCTCTGCTCCAAGTGTGATGAACTGTGCAGAAAAGTTGTTCAATACACACCTTTGACAAACGACAGGATCCGACTCCACTGGATCAATGTAGGGCTTGAGGATCTCAGCGAGTGTTTTATCGTCAGGCACCCTTTCACCAAAGATAAAAATCAAAGACGTAAGACATGGTTCATGATGTACACAAGAAATCCATTCTCTGACTCACTTGGAAGAAGCTGTATATTTATTTGCACGGTACAGTGGCAAAGCTGACTGGTTTATGGAGGATCATAAATGCGTATCAACACAGCACCGATAACTCACAGCTTTATCTGCTTCAACGCTGGGACTTCCCTGGCACCTACGAGGAGTAAACAGATGCGTATCTCTAGTTCCTAACTGCAGCAGAAACACGCTGTTCCTCCAGCCCCAGAAGCAGACAAGGGTGTGCTGCTCCTGCCCCTGCAGGCTAGGAGATAAAGGAGGAAGATTTGCCAACGTAAGCTTACTTCTTGGCCTCTGCCAAATGCGCTTGTGGGCTTTCCTACAAAGCAACCAACGTGACCATTCCATCCTATGTGAGGATGCAGACGAGGGATGGCAAATCCTGATGAACATCTGCTCCATGAGAACAGAACACGTCAGGTGCACGGGCTATCGCGATCACAAATACACAGGCTGCTCTGTTTACACACAGAAAAGGACTGGCCATCACGCATTTCGCCCAATTTGAAAAGCCTGCCAGCTTTCAGAGAAGAAATGACTACACAACCTTCAGTTGTTGGTGTTTTTCCAATTTAAATGCCCTCTTGAGACTAAAAATAATATTTGAGTTTACCCAGTGTAACAGAAATAGATAAGAACTGATCAAAATGTTCTGATGTGCTATTTCAGCAGACTGATTTTTCAAACTCCGTACCGTTTTAAAGTGTATTCAGCGTGACAGTGAGGAAATACGAGCTTCAAGTGCCAGTAGAACTTTTTCTCCCTGAAAAGAAAAAGAAATGCACATTCTTAATAGCAGCTGGTAACTCCTACTTGTGTTTTCTGTGATAAAGCCCAGTAGCCTACGAGCCGGGTGCAGGAGAAAATACAAAGATTTTGAATGGTATTTTCAAAGAGTAAAAAGGGCACGCAGAGAAGCTGAGATGCACTTTAATAGATGCACTGCTCCCCGATCCTGCTGCATTTCATGTCCTCATGGGATGAAAATCTGCTCCTTACAAACACAGGCAAGGTATCACCAATTCACTGACCAGCAGCATCTCACATTGAAAAAGGGAGTTATCTTCCAGGTGACTTTCTGTGTGCACAGCTGCCCTTTAAGTTCAGAAAAGGAAGATGCTTCTTGGCGTATCACCCAGGACAGATTGCCAAACCTGTGCAGCAGCAGCCAGAGGCCTCAGCTGAGATCTCATTCTACACAAAACAGGGGACTGACTTATAAAGAGAAAACGTGTCATAGGCAGGGAGGAAGCTGCATTTTGGCAAAACATGGATAGCAGATGTTAGAAAGAACACACGTTTTACAAAGATCAGAAAGCTTCCAGCAGAGATCAGAATTGATGCCTTGCTCCTTTGTTTGGTTTGTCAGTTTTAAGACCCGTCTTCCCTTTCTGGCTAGCACAATCAACACCTGAGAACAGCAGCTACTGAAGCATGGTTCCAGTGCAATACCATCTTAAGAAAAGCAGAATTACCTAGAGGATACTTCACCAGATTAGGAAATCTCCTTTTGCCTTTTTACTGACCTGCAGAAATGCCGCTGAAGTCAACAGCGACTTAAGGCAATGCGTTTTTCCTCTCATTGCTCCAAATCCTCCTATTTGGTATGGTAAATGTAATGGTATTTTTGTAAAAGGAAGCTCCTAAGAAAAAGCACAGCCTAGAAGGCAGGTGTCTGTCCATGCACACTCATGACAACAATCTGGAAGAGGAACGAGGGAACTACCACCACTTAGAATCAGAGGCCAGACACCTATGTGAAGCATAGGAACATCTCTCTGCCCCCCTTTCTTAATCTTCCTTTCTAACACTACGTAAGACCTATGAGCCATTATATCCAGGACAACCGCCACCAGCTATGCAAAGCTTCTAGCAGTGCAATTAAAAGTAAACGCAGCGTTGTTCCAACTTGTTTAATCTGTTTATCAGGCAGAGGAAACACTATCCAGCAGGCCCGAGCTGGCAGCAGACAAGTGTATGTGCACCCAGCAGCAAAACAGTAAACAAGTTAGCAGCTAAGTTCAATTAACTACCATGCCAATTTCTAAACGCAAGCACTTTCTAAAGCGCTCGTATCAAATAAATAATAATTCCCTTACCTCGTTATTCCTAGGAGGATACTGAGCTGAACTATGCTTCCTGTAGCATCAGTAAAATCAGAAATATTAGTGTGTGCCAGAAAAAGAGCCAGCAAGAACCCAGCTCCAAGGAGATAATGGTTAGGATAAAAAGAACAAATGAAGAGCAAGATTCGTGCTGCAGGGCTGTGCAGCACAGCTTGTGGTTCTCCCCCTCTATCTGCTCATTTTTGGTAAAGCTGAGAATGGAGAGTCTTCCTAAAATGAGAGGGTGAAGCTGGAGCACACCAGGTCTGAAAGAGGTAAGAAATCAGTATGACCAGAGCTGAAGGACAACAAAGCAAGCATTATCAATCACTCAGCGTATATAACCAGGAGCGGACACAGTATCTCGCCTCATGAATTTTATGCTATTTTGCATACTGGTGCGATGCCATCTTAAATTACCGAACTGGAAAAGGTTTTGAAATAACCCAAAACCAGGGAGTGGAATTTTGGAAGTTTTCTGTAAGACGGGTGAAACAAGGTTTTGCAATTCTTCATCCTGGTAGCTGAAGGAAGCCTCAGTGCTCCCATGTGCACAAGCTGGACTATGAATACAGTTGTGGAACCAGTTCAAACGACTTGTGATGAACAAACTTGTGACTTCTCGGTCAGACATATGTCAGTATCTGGCATTCCATGAGCATGGTATTAACTCAGAGCACTTTCACAAGGAGACTTCAGTAAAAACTGGTAATCTTTAGACACAGGAGTAGGGTCACCATCATTAGCTGCAGGAAATACCAACGACGGGCACATCTACTAAATACTTACAAGGACTGTTCAAAGGATGTTTCTGTTACGTGTTATCAACTGAACATGAGGCTTCCTAGCATTTTTTCATTTAACTCCTCATCTTCCACAACGTTTTCAATCAGATCATGGTTATCTGCTCTAAGCGATAGATGCTCATTGCGACACGGACTTCCTTGCAGTCAAATTCTTACATCAAGACAGCCGAAGCAACAGGAGATCACAGGTGGAAACACACCGTGACCCAGCTCACACACACTTATGAGGCCCAGAGGGCTGCCCTTAACACAGGCACTGGACAGACATACTCCACAAGTACTTGCAGCTATCTGCTACCTGTTGTTAGGAGTCCTCCCTGCGTGTCCGTGCTGACCGTCACAGCATGTTCTGATTCACACGCCAGGCCAGCTCCCCGTGGGCGCACGGAGACAGACGCAGCTCATCGCTGCAGCTGTACCATCAGCTTAAGAGGGATCTCTTCAGGCTTTCTCGCCTTCTCTCCCCCTTCCAGGCACAATCTAGTCTATGGTGCAGTGCACAGAAGAGCCCAGACACTGAAGTTATGAAACATTTTGATGAGGAGGGATCTTTATTTTGGAAAAAACAGAAACCTTGGGTGTTTTCAGCATGCTAATACCAAAACTGCAGCTATTATTTAATCTTTCTTCAAAGTACTCTTGCCTGAAAGTAAATGGCAAACAAAAATAAACAAAAAAGAGGTAAACTAGATTAAGAACTAGATAGGAGGAGACAAGGAAAAAAGCAGCTTAGAATTGGAACAGCCTCATCCTCTGCTGTACAATGAAGTCTTGAAAAACAGCTGCTGGACGCCTGTTACTGAAGTGAAGCATCCCTCACCATCACCCATCCCTGCCCAGTTACAGCTCTTGATGCAGCTCTGACAGCATCTACAGTTAACTCCACAACAAGCTCTGATTAACATTAGATATGCTGGCTCCAGATCTCACTGACTTCATTTCCCACTACGGCTCACTGGGGCAGCATTTCCTCCAAATACAACCGACATGTACTACGTTCATTTTCTAAATGGAAATGCTCAACTGAGTAACTCATCTGCAGCTGAGTTCCTGAGCTCCTCGCTGCACGAAGCGCTGCCACGGAAGCCACCGCACCGCCTTCACCAATACCAAGGCACTGACTACACAACTGCCAAGCAGCAGAGACCTGGAGGAGGCAAAAGCACATCCCTGATGTCAGTAAAAACAGCATCACAGCCCATCCCTGCATTGCTTGGCTTCACGTCCCATTCTGGCTACTTCAGAAGCATGGAAACCGATCAGAGGGAGGAAGAGGAGCCAAGCAGCTCTTCCCCTGCGTGAGATGCATGCAATTCATGTTCAGAAGTGCACAGGCTGCTTTGCAGTTACTGCTCTTCTGAAGTAAAGTAACTGTCTCCCTTTCATTTCTCCTAAAACTTCCCCAAAACCTTTTCTACAATCAACTTTAGTTTTAACAGAACGACACGTAAATGACTTTTCAAATTCTTCAGAGCAACAACTGACAGATTTTTATTCATGGTGTTACAAAGACAGCAGCAGTGCATACAGAGTGGCTGCTGGTACCTTCAGCTGCCTCTCAGGACAACTGCAAACATTCCCATCACCTCCCATAGCTAATGCAGCACCTAGGACGATGCTCCAGGAGCTGTGTGTGCAGGCAGTACAGCTGCTGGGAACTAAAGGACAGATCTAAAGGACTCTGGGACTTGGCCATAGCAGTGAAGTGCCCTGGCAGATGTTCAGAAGGGTCCAATGTTTATGTATTTCCTAAAACATTAATGAATTCTCATAAAGCTTAACTTTCTCACCTAGACTTCCTCTGAACAGTTCATTCTGCCTAGATCGCAGTAAATTTTATGTACATAAAATCTTCTAAAAATGTGTGTATCTATGTAAAATAAAATACATATTTAAAACAAAATTTCCAAATTCATCACATCTCAAGATACCAACTGCAGCTCTGGCTCTGCAGAAGTACTTCACTGCCAGCCTGTCAAAGGCAGCGATTCACTGATCATCTTGTTTCTACTTAGCAACTAATATTCTTAAGCTGTTTTAAAAACAGTAGATGGGATATCTTACATCAAAGCACAGATATTTTAGTATTTCCCGTCTATGTTATTTAGAATTGATAAAACAGATGAAAAGGACATGAAGAAGTTTGAGGACCAGTTACACTTTCATTCGCAACACACAGTACTCTCCCCTAATGCACTGAAGTTTAATTTAAATACTGGGCGTTCAGTATCTACACCTTTGGATAATAACGTATTTCTCAACATTCTTAAGCAATGAAGATCCAGCCCAAAAAGATCTCTCGTGGATTAAATAAAATTAAAACAAGAGAACACACAGAAGTGCGATGATTTCATCCTCTCCGCTCCCCACACGCTGTGTTCCCAGTGCCAAATCAGCTTTGCTGCACTTCTAACAGCAGCACACAAAACAGGATGTCTTCATTTAGCTGTAACTTCATCAAGCTAATTCCTGGATCTGGTGCATAAACAGTACAACTGAATTATTCCTACTGCAAGTTCAGATGTTTCCTAGTTACAGCAAACAGCAAGACAATCAGCGAAGGCACCGAAGCGGATTTCCTCTGTACCACACATGGTCTCCTGTCAAGGGGCCTCCCAGCAGCAGGGGATGTCACCAACCGTGTGTGTCGCAATCACCAAACGTGCTGGGCTTCAGCTGAGAGTCCTGTGTCAACCAAAGCACACTGTACAGGGCAGGCAACCCAAACTTTAATGATCTTTAACGAACAAACAAAATACCACCGGATTCACTATGAGAACAAAACATTCCAGTACTCATCTTCATCTGGGGATGTTCTGAAAAGCTACTGGTTTACTGAAACACATGAGCATCGTGCTCTCTGATCACTCCCAGGAGTGATCCCAGTAGTGACTCCTTTGCCTGGGAACTTATTTTGGTGGGTCCTAGGAAGCAAGCAAAACTACGCACTAAGTAATACCCAAATTCAAGTTTAGCAGCTCCAACAGCCTAATATTAACCCTAAACCCAGCTCACAACTCCTTGGTAAATTCCCAGGAACAGCAACACTTCAAACAATTGATTTCAATTATCCCTACCTAGGTAAGGCTTAGAGTTGGCATTTTAGGGCTTTCAGGCGTACCTCAAAGTAGCTTCTGTAACACTAATGATCCCGTAACTGGTGCTAATCCCAAATCTCCACACTATTTTACTCTCAGAATTAAATCAAAGAAGGGAGACACTGACAAAGCTCCCCTCTTCTCCCACATAGATCAAGTGCTGGAAAGCTGCAGGCATGCCTTCCACCAGCGAGGAGACTGGAGCCCTCCAGCCCCTATGGGTGGGGAGGAGAGGTGAGAAGGGTTTCGTTTGGGAGGAGAAGTGAGTGGAGCAGGGAGGGAGCTGTGTGGAGACGCCTATGAGGGTGTGAGCAGCACAAGGGAGGTTGGAGCAGGGCAGCGCGGACAGCAGAGCCGAGGGTGCTGCAATGCCTCATTTCAGTGCCTCAATGCCCCACTGCAGTGCCTGATTGCTGTCGTCACCTCCCACAGGGAAACAGGAGCCTCACGAGCTCTCATTTCTCCTCCCATCTGATGGGATGGGGCTCCCCCACTGCTGCCCCAGCCTTTGTCCCAACCCGGTCACATTCTCTACCCCTTTCCCAAAGGCCACCCCAACTCCATGGCAGCACTTGTCCAGAAGGGGAACTATCACTTCTACTGGAAAATAATGGCACCACAGGAAAGGTGGGGTACAGCAGCGCTTTAAAAATGATTTGCAAACAAGGTGTCCTAAACCATCTCTAAGTCAGACATCCCATGAGTTCACAACCTGGACTCAGACTCTACTTTCTAATGCCCCTCAGTTATCTGGATATTCAGTATTACAAGACAGTCTCATGCATCTGTTGCCCAGCATTGACACGTATGCTTTCACAACACCAAACTTAGCAAACAAACTGATGGAAACCAGGAAATGAAGAGCCTGGTTAACACATCCAAACAACAACTGATCTGTCCTCCAGAGCTGGCAGGGGCAGGGGAGGACACAGAATACAGCTTGTACATCCCAGTTCTGAATTGCTCTCATTCCTGCCTTGCACAGCCCAGCAGCTTGGCTCGCATGGAGAGCATGAACAGGACATCAGAGACGACTGTTCTCAGCTTTCCACGCACATATGTGGAGCAGCTTCCAACCTCCACCCTCTGGAGCAGCCCCTCTGCAAATCCCAACCAACAAACAGCACGAGAAGGGGTTCAGAGCTACAGAAAACCAGACACGCCAGACCCTGACCCTGAGGTGTTACGCTCATATAACACAGCTACTTGCACAGCTTTACTCCTTTGGATGTAAAATCCAGCAAAACACTACGGGTGTCACGAAGTCATATGGGTAAGTATTGAATGGCTGATACTCACTGGTTCAATCAAACCTGAGCCTTGATTCCCTGCAACCCATTTAAGGACAAAAAGCAAAACATGCCAATAAAAACAAACAAACACCACCAAAGCTTCGTTAATTTCTAATCTGCATTGCTGCCCATCGCTGCATGAGTAACAGCAGCAGCAAAAGAGAGTCAGTGTGTCCTTTGTGCACTGTTCACTGAGCACATTCCAGAACCTTACACTTACAGGAAAGAGGAGGTTACTTCCTATGCTCTCAAGAACAGAAAATGTTATTATGTGCTTTCTGATGGGAAGTGGAAGTCCCAGAAAGGTGAGCATTCCAAAACAACAAAATACCCTGGGACTTTATGGCTGACAAAAGCCAGTAAGGAATTATCCCAGACAACTGTGAAATATTTCCATGCATATTTGCCAATAAGTCACCTTCCCTGTCTCATCCTCTTCATCTTTAAATGCACATCTGTTAAACAATGTAAAGCATGGGATACATGGGACAGCATGATCTGCTCAAAGCTGAATTTGTTCCCAATGCAAGTCACACTTATGCATGAATGCAAAATGACTTTCTAGAGAAAAAGAACTGAAAAACATGGTACGTGAAGGCAATTTTCAGTCAGTACAGCACTGTATCACATCCAGGATCTTCCCAATAGTGTCAAACCTCCCTGTGCCTGTGCTTTTTCTGTTTCTTAGCATCAGAGATCTAAGAGAGCTTCTCTTAACATCAGAAGCATCCCTGGGCCCTCTTCACTTGCTCTGGCTCTTAAAGACTACTCCTTAAGGGTGTTCATGCCGTTTTACCCACAACATTAAGGAAATTCCCCGAAGTTAAACTCAGCTCTGAGCTCAAGACACCTCAATAGCATGAGAAGAGCACAGCAGATCTGTAAAAGCACATGGTCAAGGAAAAAGACATCAGCGTAGAGGCAGCCAGGCTCTGCTGACAGGGCACATCTGCAAGCTCTGGGGCTACCACTTGGCCTGCTCTGAGGGGGAACCTCAGGGATGTCCAAATTGGAGGAGGAGAAAACGCCCCAGATTTCCTTTTTCCCCATTGGTCCACCCTGGGTTTTCTCTAGCAGAGCTGGTAAAATATGCAGCTGTAAACGGTCACACTTATGCACCTATTTTCCGCCTTACGTTCTGCTAGAAACTTAAGCTACCTGCAAAGCCCAAACGCGGCGCTTGTGGCCCCGAACCACAGACCTGACACCGGCCAGCGCGCCGCGCCCCTGCCCGGCCCGGCTGTCCGAGAGCGACACCTGGCGGCTGGCGGCGGCACTGCCCCCAAAACAGCACGGCCCCTCCCCAGTCCCCATCACAAACCTTTGAAGTGTTTTCTTTTTCCAGCAACAAAACTCAACGTTAATTCAAAGGTGAAAACCGCAACAGCACTGCTTCTCCCCCATTACTCAGTGTTAGTGTTTTTCCAAATAAAGCATGAATTGCATAGGCTACTAAACCAAGCTCAAGGAGCCTAAAAAATGAAAACCTGCAGCATGAAATATTAAATTAGATGGCTTTTGTAAAGTGCATCTCACAGATTTTTAAAGCAAGCCTATCAGTGTGAATTTAGATCCTCGTAATTATGCATTCAATGAAAACAAAATATTGCTGACTGCAGCCAACTGAAGACTCACGTGTTATTGAAGGTGGTCGAGTTCTCTCTTCTTTTTGTAAATCCAATGGGCAGAGTCCTTAGGTCGATATCACACTTCCGAGCTTTGTTTCTCAAGCAATATAACTAGCAAAAAATGAAAAGATTATTTTTTTTTAAATCTGAATCATATATTCAGAACCTGAGAGTTAAACAATAAAAGAGCAACACTGACAGGAATTATGGGGCAATTGTAGAAAAGAAAAATCTGAATCATATATTCAGAACCTGAGAATTAAACAATAAAAGAGCAACGCTGACAGGAATTATGGGGCAATTGTAGAAAAGGCCGCATTTACTGAAGTACTTTCTTTGACTTTGTAAAAAAGCCATCATGAATGAAAAAGTTAATAAAGTAAGCCTAGAAACCACCTCAAACGTTTCCAGGTGAAGTTTTCCCATGGTTTAAAACCAACACGCCTATGACCTCTTCATAGTAAAGGTTCTTTCATACACCGTGAGAGCCACAGCCAGCCCCTGTGGGTGTACCACCACCCATGGAGCTGTTTCTGGGTTACAGCCCTGCAGCAGACGGGATGCACACAAGCACCATCTCAGCCGCTCTGACAAATTCAGATTTGAAGGGAGCACTGAGGCTATCAGCCCCTGAACAGCCTCGCACCACACCCCAAAAATCAGTGCCTCAGCACCTCCCCATCCTCAGCGCATCTTTTCCAGACCTCATGGTGACAAGTGCACACACACACACAGAGCACAACTTCAGCCCAAGAGAAAGCCAGCGCCTCCCAAATTCACTTTGTCACCAACGTGAGTCCTCTCCAAGTTTCGTGCTGTATTTAAAGACATCTTCACAAGGCTGGGAAACAACACGGCCCTGATGCCTTTCTGTGACATGTCAGCAAGTCCAAGCATTTTGGAGCAGATTTTGTTTGTCTGGGTGTTGGGTTGGGTTTTTTTTTTATCCCTTCTTGATCTTAAAGTCTTTGCAGTTTACCATCATAGACCTTTCAGGAAATGCCACACTTTTCTGGGATCTCATTAACGCTTTACTGGAATTGGAGGAGGATCAGTAACCCAACTTCCCCTTACGAGGCTGCCTTTCACTTCATTGTTCCTTAGATTCATTCTTTGCTGAACTCTAGCTGCCTTCATTTGGCATATGGGGAATCACATAATAACTTTCAGGCAATTAATAAATCTGTTTTCTACCTGGGAATGTCATACTTAAAAAACTCAGAAAAAGCTGCTGATGTGGAAGGAAACGTTCAGGCTTTGTTAAAACAAAACCATCAAACAGCAAGAGGGGTCACGCATCAATGTTAAGAACGCACTCTGTTAGCAATCTCTTCTAAGCATTTGAATGCAGCCATCAACACTATTATTGCATAAACCTAGAAGCTTCTTTTGGTATCTGCCTCTAAAATTCAGGGTCATTTATACCTTGGTGAGAGGGGTATCAGCTCTGAAATCTGGAATGGGACCGCCTCAGAGGGAATTCAAGGTAATCGACCCTATCTCCAGCAGGTCAAGCTGCTAATTTAGAACTCACATTTCTTCTGGTGGTTGGGCTGTGCACAGTAGGATGCCGAGCAGCAGCGTCAGCTGTCCTTCCTACATCTTCCAGGAAACGGTAATCTGGAGGCGAAATAAATGAACAAGAAGAAAATGCAGTGCTAGTCCAGTACATACAATGAATTGTCAAAAGCATAACGGACATCCTTACCACTCAAAAGGTTCAGGTCAGTGAATTCATTCACAGAGACAAACGCTGTTTTATCCCTGACTCCATTACAGCTCAGTGCAAGCTTGTGCTTCTTTACGCACAAGAGACTGAAACGACAAAAAGAAAACCATCACCATGCCACGTTCAGCACGAGCGGGTGAAGAACCCCAACTATTTTAATTTTACAGATACCTGCACGAATATCTCATGCACCGTGGACATCTGTACTTGGCTTCCTTCTCGCTGCATGTTTCACACCTGAAAGAAATGGAAAGTACTAATGAATAAAGCAGCGTCTTTGTGCCCCACTGGCCTGGGAAGGTGCCTGCTCAGTGACCAGGCACCCTATGCCATCACTGGCATCTTCAGGAAAAGTTATCTGAGCCTCCAATGAAGAAACAAAAATCCAAATACTCTGGATTAGGTAAAGCAGCAGGCAAAACAACACAAGCTATGGGGAACAACTCCCAGCACGTACAGGGGTCTTGCCCATCGTAAAACACAGTGCAGGTTTGTGACAGAGAGAGAAAACCCCCACGCAAATGGCAGAGCTGGGAGCACAGTGAGGCTGCACCAGTTTGTGCCTTGTGGCCTGGTTCTCTCAGTGCTTTTCTCCACTTACATCACCTGTAATGTGCGTCGTACCATGCTGAACTGTAACACTCCCAGTTTTAGGCAGATGGAAAATAAATGCCAAGCATTCACACAAAAACCTGAACAGGGTATCTCAATTCTTCAGTGAAACAGAAAACCCATGACAATAAAACCAGCAAAATTTCTGGCTGTTAGAAGTGCAAAATCCAAAGTCGGGGAACCTCTCAGACACAACCTGTAAGCTTTATGAACACAACTAATGACTATTAGTTGACTATTATCTCACTAAAAAAACCCTCTACAAACATAACATCCTGCTTTTTAACTAGGCTATGACAACAGATGTTTCTCTTTTTCTTAGGAAAAAGTTCTTGTTATATTAACTGAAACAACTGTCATTTTCATTTATTTTAACTCTGACAAATGAGGAAGGGAAATAACCCTCCCCCCGTGTCAGTAAAGCTCTCAAGAATAGGACAAACCCACCACTTTCAACTACTAGAAGAAAAATTTAAGCCTCAAAATACTGTTCCTCCTCTCCCCATCACCTGAAGGCCAAGCTTAGCAGCACCATCCATCCCCTGACGAGAAGGTGGCTCTGTGTGCCGGCAGCACCAAGTATTAGAAGAACAGGAGGAAAATAAAAAGAAACACCAACCAAAAAACCCGCAAACCCAAGTGTTTCCTACACTGCGAAACGGAACCAGGAGAGCAAAACCCGCGCCCCCTGCGCCAGACCCCAGCACGGTGCCAAAGCAGGCGCTGCTGCCCGGGACACCTCCGCCCGCGCCCAGGAAGGCTCCCCCGGCAGAGCACGGCGCTGCCCGCACCGCGGCGGTAACGACCACGGCCGGGAGGGCTGCTCCC